GCTGAAGTCGGATGCTTAACCGACTGAGTCACCCAGGCACCCCTCAACATAAATAAACTTTAAAAACAAAGAAGAAAAATCATGGAACTGTCCTGCGTTGAGGTACAGGAGCCCAAATGGCAGGAAGTGCAGGGACACTGGCCTTCCCAGCAGTCTGGTGGGGACGGTGATGGGGGCCCTTGCACACACGTCTCTGGCCCCCACGCTCCTTGGGCCAGCGTGTCTCGATTCTTCTGCTCTGTGCAGCTTGGGCTTCCTGGTGTGGATTAATGGTCCCGTGGCCAAGACTTCTGGGAAATCCCCGAGGCCACACCAGCACCGACAGGTCGGGGAGCAAGAGGCAGAGGCTAGAGCCGACAGTCCACGCTGTCTGTCTGCTCTCCTGCAGTCAAAGGGTCAAGCGGTCGACGGCCAAGGAACCCGAGAACGTCACCTGCTCATTGGAGAATGTGAGACCAGAAGGAAAAGGGCCCATTCTTTTAGCAATGGGGCTCGTCTGTCACCGGCCTTGCTGCGGATTCCTTCTCCGGCCTGGGAGTCACAGGCAGACCGATTAACTGGGTCACCTCGCACACTATTGGTGCCAGGCCCCCGGGGTCTAGCATGGCTGCCTCTGCCGCTCACCCAGCAGGGTCCCCGGCCACCCGTCCGCGCCGTGGACCCCGGCACACCCTGCGTCTTGCTCTATGTCACAGGCTGACTTGTGTCCCTGACAAGTTCAGATGTGCGTCTCAACCCCCAGGACCTGGGAGTGTGACCGTATTTGGACACGGGGCCTTGAAAGAGGCGATTAAGGAAAAATGAGGTCATGTCGATGGGCCCTGATTCAATAGAACTGGTGTCCTTTTAGGAGAGGAGATCAGGACACAGACACAGAGGGACGACCGCGTGAGGACACGGGGAAGATGGCCATCCACAAGGCAAGGTGAGGAGGAACCAGCCAGCCCACACCTTGATCTCTGACTTCCGGCCTCCAGAATGTCAGGAGAGGACACGTCTGCTGTTTAAGCCCCCGAGTCTGGTATTTTGTCATGGCTAGTACAATCTGTGCTTGGAAACCTACCACTTTCAGCCGTAAAGAGCGAACAAGAGAACATTTTGTCCGGAACATCTGGGCACACCTTCCCTTTCAGAAGTCTGTTAAACGTAATTTTCAAAAGGGCATCTGGGTGGCTCAGTTGGTTAGGCGTCTGACTCATGATTATTTCAGCTCAGGTCACAATCCCAGGGTCGTGGGATCAAGCCCCACATCCGGCTCCATTTGTGGAGCCTGCTTGGGATTCTCTCTCCCCCACCCCTCTCTCTCTATCCCTCTTCCCTGCTCTCTAATAATTTTTTCAAAGAAAGGTAAAATCCTGCCTGTCATACAGATAAGACTATGCATATATGTTAAAGATTTTATTTAACTCATTAATCAGGGAAGGAAACAGACAGATAGATGTTCTTTTTTTAATTTTTTTTTTAACATTTTTAATTTTATTTTTGAGAGAGACAGAGACAGAGCACAAGCAGGAGTGGGGCAGAGAGAGAGGAAGACACAGAATCCGAAGCAGGATCCAGGCTCTGAGCCGTCAGCACAGAGCCCAACGCGGGGCTCGAACACACGAACCGTGAGATCATGACCTGAGCTGAAGTCTGACGCTCAGCCGACTGAGCCACCCAGGCGCCCAGGCAAACAGATGTTCTAATTGGTTCAAAAGGGAATCCAAAGAGCAGACAGTTTCAGATGAGGAACGCTGAAATGAATACGAAATGGAGGGCTGGCTCTTCACAGTGGACAGGGAGGTCCCCTGGAACTCCGCTGGTTGCGACAGAGTCTGCCTGACTCTAGACAAGAATTATTTTGTGCTCCCAGGGGCCCCAGGCCGAGTCAGGCTTATGCTTTTGCACTACGCATAAGGGGGCTCTTTTGTAAAGTGTTAATTTTGTTCTCTTTCGCTTCTGAGAACACGACCTTCCTCCACGATAATCGGAAGTGTCCATCCGTCTTGGGTGGGGACGGGAGTGAGGCGAGGAATAGCACAGAGGAAGCAAAGAGAGAGACCAGGGCATCTAAGACGATCTCTTCCAAGAGCCGGGGTTTTGTTAAGAGAGACAGAAGTTTCAAAACTTTCTCTTGTCCGTCAGTCTGTCCCAGGCCAGGTCCAGCTGGTCGAGTTCAAGGGGGTGGCAAGGCCGCACGTGCCCTTTTGTGTCTGGCTTTTTTCACTTAGCATCATGTTTTTAAGGGTTACCCACGAGTTAGAGCTATTTTTCAAGCCCATTTGTACAGACGAGACGCAGGGATCCGGGGGACCGGGCTGAGCCTTTCACGAGTCTGTTGAGTGGGGTCTCCTCTCGGACCTGTGAGGGTGGGGCGGGGGGGGGGCGTCCAGGCTGTGGCATCTCCTGTGTGAACACTGGAGTCTGGGACATGAAAGGACACTCAGCAAGGCTGAAGGATCAATGAGGAGGTGACTCTCCTTAGGACGCATTCCTCCAGATGGGGGAAAGAGCATGCTGTCTTGCCACCAGGCCGCTTGGGGGGCCCCCTGGGGGCTCAGGTGGGTGGATGTACCTTGCCACCTGCAGGGTGTGCAAGAGCCCAGCAGCCCTGGCAGCTGGAAGGCTGAGGTCCCTCCTGCCTTGGACTCTGCTCGGTTTGAGGGGCTATGGCGCCATCTGGTGGCTGCAAGAAAACCCAACGCAAAGCCACTTGGGGCCTCCGGCAGATTTCCTGGTCAATTCGAAGGAAAAGTAGGCTCCTCAGGAAAGCACCAGGACCCCGCTGGGCCCTTTGCAAACATCCTCAAGCTGAGGGCAAGCGTGATGGGAATATCCGACCCGGGCAGAGGGCGCTGATGGCAACACACGTTTTTGTGAGAAAGGAAGATGTTTACGACAATTTGCGATGTGAAAAGGCGAAGACACGGTGTGAGCTGATGCAGAAAATGTTTACGTGGCTGAATGTATGTTTCTGAGCGCATGGGGAAGGCCAGGAGGGAAACAGGCCAAGGCGTAAACACTGAATGTTGAAGGGAGTCAGTTCCGAAATAACGTGTGGAGGGCTGAGGCCGGGCTCAGACTAAGTCTCAGCAGGTGTTTGTTGGCTGTTGTATGTCAGTTACAGAATCGGATTCTCCATCATCAACATCCTCATCATCATCCCTGGATGAGAAAATTGTTTTTCCTTGTTTCTTACATGTATCTTCCGATTTTTCTCTGTTGTCTATGTTACTCAGAAAAAAAAAAGAGATACTTAAAAGAGAGAGAAAGGCTGCGATCAGCTCCCATGGAGCTTGTCTGAGTTTTGTGAATATCGCGGCAGCCGGGTTCTCTCTGAGCCTGGCCGGTGAGCCCTGCCTGCCAGGCTGGGGCTGATCCTGGCTTTGGGCTCTGCCACCAAGTCACCCTGGGATGCCGGGGCCTGACCTCTCAGGGGGTCACTCTCCTCGTCTGAAGCAAACAGAGGCCTGACCTCACAGGTCACTTACGGAGTGACACGAGTTGGCTCTTGGGCAGCATCTGCCACCGTGCCTGGCTCACGGTAAGCACAAGCCACCGCCCATCTCAGGGCATCAATCCAGCCAGGGATTGGGACAAGACCAGGGTTTCCATGAGTCTTGTCCTTGCACCACCTGCCTCGCAGCCAGCTGGGAAACTTGCCGAAAGGCAGATTTGTTGGCCTTGCCTAAAATTTCCAAATCTGCGCCGTCAGCAGATTTCACAGGCGAAAACCTCCCAGCTGAGCTCACAGGAAGTTGAGACCCCTGGAAACAGGATATCGTTTCTAAGGTCCCTGCGAGCTCAGACCTTCTAAAGTGCTGGCTTCTTCTGAACCCAGGATTGGGGCCTGCCCAATCTCTTGACCTCTGCACCCCAATTTTGTAATAAGAAGGGCAGCTCTTGGCCCTGGCAGGTTGGGCAGGAACTCAGCTGCAGGCTGTTTTCAGAGGATCGTAAAGAACTAACATTGGAGACACTCGTGCCGTAGTCAGGACACTGACGTCCAGGGGTCAGGGTATCTGTTGCCTGACTGGCTGGTGCTGGAGTCGAGAACAGTCGGATCTCCTGACTCCAGGGTCAGCAGTGTGTGTGTGTGTGTGTGTGTGTGTGTGTGCACCTCACACACATGTGCACACGTGCTTATTCTTGCTGCGGGAGGCCCAGGCTATGTGCACGCCACAAAGTCAAGGCCAGCCCCTGCCAGACAACTTGCTGTCCAAGCACACATTTACACACTTCCAAGCCTTCTCACCACTTCTATGTTTTTCTCTATTTCGGTTCGGCCTCTGCAGTAGAGGGATAAGGGGAGAAAGGGAAGAGCCGGGAAATAGGAATTGGAAGAGCTTTGAAATTAATTTTTCCCTAGAGTTTCATTCCACAAGAACAACCCACTGTCTTCATCCGGCACCCTCAGCCTCGGCAGTCTTACTCTTTGAGCCTCGGGTAAACCCGGCACCTGGCATACAGGAAGCGCTCCATAAATGTTTACTTAGTCTGAGCAATGGGAAGAACGAGACTGCTGTGTATCGTGGTGGGTCAGAGTAGGGGCGGGGGATGAGGAGCTGAGTGTGGAAAGTTCTCCGGTCTATTGGGCATTCAGATAAGGACGGTGGGTGGGCAGCTGGGCGTAGGATTCTAGAGTTCTGGGAAGGCCCGCGAGGACCCGAGTTTGGGAGTCACGAGCAAACACCACTTAAGCACCCATTAGGCGTGAGGGATGGCTTAGGGAGAGAGCAAGGCCAGGGACGGGTCCAGGCCTGTGCTCTGAGGCACCCTGACTTTCAGGTGTGGGCCGATGAGAGGGGAGAAGAGGTCTGAGCCTGAGCAGTGAGTTGATGGACATCTAAAGGGATTGACCCCCCAAGACACCCTGGGTCTTGTCTCATGGAGGAAGGAGGCATCAACTCACTGCTGGACCACCAGCTCTGCCCAGGGGCTGACTAAGATAGGGACCCCGGGGTGAGCAATGGGGACCCGGACATGACTTGTTTCAGTGGAGTCAAGGGACAAAAGCTGTCTGACTGAACAGGGTTCTGGGAGAAAGACAATCAGAGGAGCTATCCAGGAGGGCCAATATTTTGACTAAAAGATATTCCAAGAACATCCCTTTGGCAATTACTTGCTGACCATCATCAAGGGCCAGGCGCCATTCGGGGCTCCGTGCGTAGTGCAGCGGGCAAGAGGCAAAACTCCAGGGAGCTCACATTCTCATGAGGAAATGAGTAACATCTACAGTAGGTTTGGCAATGGATAAATCTTAATTTAGAAAGAAAGAAAGAAAAAGAAAGAAAGAAAGAAAGAAAGAAAAAGAAAAAGAGAAAAAGAGAAAGAAAGAAAGAAAGAAAGAAAGAAAGAAAGAAAGAAAAAGAAA